ATAGCCTTACGCTTGTTATAACGAATCAATTTTGGCACATGCAAACTTTAGTATCCTTAATCGTTTCCAAATTCATATATTTGCAAACTAAATTTTACAAAGAGGAATGATATGTATGTTTGTTTTGGATAAATTCAAAGACTACTGGACATACTTAGAAAATTATTTCAGCAACATGCTCACTATCAATGAGGAACACAATATGTCCGTAATATATATACATATATATATATATATATTTATGGGATAGGGTGCAGACGAGCAGATTACTCACTCACGATCAGGATCACCTGATGGTGAGTGATTAAAAAAAAATAAAAAAAACTTCAAGTAACTTCTGGGGTCAATTAGTAACATTTAGCGCCATAATCATCATGTACCCGCTGTTGGCTTGGCTAGCGCTGTGAAAACGTCCAAACTTGAGATAATAAAATTTTGGTCACTACAATCGGCTCTTGGTAAAATTGTTTATCTTCCCTATCGCAAATGAACGCATCCATTTCTGCATCTGCAATCAAAAAGTTATGAAAGGTACACGTGTACCTTTTTTATTTATTCATTTGATTAATTCAATTGTAATATTGTAGCAACTTGACCACGTTAAAGTAACTTACCAAATCATATTAATGAGTCACTTTAAAATGTAATTCTCTTTGTTTCATCTCATTATGAAGTACTTAAACCACATAAATATACCCACGTAATTAGTTTAATATAAGCACCAATTTATTATTAATTATTTTATTTTTACTACCATCTAAAAAGGTATTATAGTTGTAATAAATACAATTATTTATCTCTGGTATATTTGTCCCCTTCTGATATTAACAATACTGCTGCTGATGTAGAATCAGATAGTGAACATTTTTAATTCTAAATGTTTCGCTTTCTGTTAACATATTTGTTTTCGGAGAAACATTGGAAAGTATTGTAACAAGCTGCTATGCATTTTAGTTATGTTATTAAGTACTTGAGAAAAAATTATTTTTATAACATGATAAACCAAAATAGATCAAATATTTTAAAGTTAAATAACGTGCAAATCTAAATTATACGTGTTCCTAAAAATTCCCGTTCCGAAAAATTTACAAGATGCTTGGAAAGTCAATTAAAAGGGAATATATAAATAATAAGAATAAAATAATGGACAACTCACTTTCGTGTTTAATTTATATAATTTTAAATAGGTAATGAAAAGCATTTCTTCGAATAGTTCGCAGGGTTTGAAAACAACGACAATCTATCTACCTTTATACTATTTTGTTATTAGAAATCTCTAGCATTGTTAATAAATTTTCAAATGGCGTATGCAAGCTCACAAGATGAATGAGCAGCTCGATGTGGCAGTGGTCAGAAGGTGTGTGCTGTCACGGTTAAGCGACTTTTACAATGACTGCTCACATGATGGGTGACCATATTTTTGAGCCCTGTTTGTCTCGGCGTTACATTTGAATTATTATTGGATTTAGCCTAATGATTACAACACAATACAAATGTCAATTAACAATGAAAGTGACAAAAATCATAAAAATTGAAATGAAAAAGAAAATATACAACATTTATCTAGAGAGGTTGGCAAAGCTGTTGCCAACGGCGTGTGCAAGGATTAATTACTAGAAAGCAATCTGTGCAGTACAACGCTGGCTGTACACAAACCGAAAAAACAAATATAATTTTCGATTGATAGTGAATTTAGTGCACTGCACGGAGAGTTAGCTCATCGGTACCCGTTTTTGATGCAAAAATGCATTTTGATCCGGCTTGTATTTTTTGCGGCACGATTCCACTTTTGAAATGGTCGAATAAGCAAAGCAGCAAGCAGTATGTAGCTTTTGTTTCATTTATTATTAAGGGAATTTAAAAAAAAAGGATATAATTTTAATATTGTGTGTAATATTGTTAGAATTTTACAAAGGAGATCTTAAAACGTGTATCAAATTTCGTAAGCATTTTTTGTGTACGGTCTCTCATTTTTTAATTGTTTATTTTACATAAGTTTTATCAAAACGCAGTAAGTAGTTCGAATATTTAAAATATTTAGGCATGTAAATATTGACTTTAAAAAAGGAGAAAATTAATAAATATATATTTTAAAAAATAAAACAGACTAAGAAAAATCTTGAATAATATAATAAAATTAAATACTTTGTTATTCTAATAAATGCTAATCACTATGTTACAGAATAAAAATAATATAAAATAAAAATATTAATAATGCTTTAAACAGTAAAGGATGTAATATTCTAAATTTCAAAGGTAAATTATTATTTAGTGTAATGTATCACAACATCTTTACAAATACCGAATCAGGAATAACCAATCATATATTACGAGTATAATTTATTTTTAAAATTTTTGTAGAAGAGAAATATCTCTTATGATATAAACACAAAACCAAGTTACTGTAACATGACGTACATTGTACAGTGAAAATTGGAAACAAATCAAATATGCATCGTTCAACCAACCATGAGATGGAATACTCACATTAGCGGTATATAGATCTATTCCGAATACACTAGTGGTGATGTTTCAATAGATATAATTTATCGATAGCGAGACATAAACGTCAATGTTTATCGATAACATTAATATAAAAAAATGCTTTCGAAACCAATAAATTATGATTTGAATATAGTTTTAATATTATAAGCATAATTAACACTTTGTTAATGTACTAGCTCTTTCCCGCGAGTTGGCTTAAAATTATAGCCTATGTTAACCGCGTATAATGTTACTTTCCGTGGGTGAAGGAAATTTTAAAATCCGTCAAATAATTTCGATACCTATTCACCACAAACAAACATAAAAAAACATTCAAATCTTTCCTTTCTATATTATTAGTATAGATTTCATGCGAATCAAAGTATGGAGTTGTAGTAACGTAACTAAATTGAATAATATCGATACGTATAAAAAATATGACTGTTTTAAAAGCGTGTCTCTCTTTCAAGGTCACATGTCGATATGGAAACTATTTTTGTTGCAACAACACTGTCCACCAGCAGAATCGGCAAGTTATTCCACCTTTTCGTTTGCAATTCGATTTTCCTTTCGCGCTGCCACAGCGATTTTTTATAATATAAAGCTGTTGGCTATACTGAGTATATTAGATTCTCGATTTATAGATGCGGAAAATGATTTTCTCCTAAGCTTTTTACTAATATGAATCAGGAGAGGTACCGAATAGAAAATATAAATGCTGATATTCCATTTTAGAAAACACTTCAAGTGTGGTTTTATTTTGCTGTTACACAAAATACTTATTTATTATTGATTAAGAGATATAATAATATATTGTCAAACAAAAATAAATGGTAATTTATAATGATCGAACTACATTTATGTACTGCAACCATAGATAGTTCAAAAAAAGAATTTATTTTCAAAGAGATAACTGCAAATTCACCTTTAATATTGACATAATTTAGATACGATTTTTTTTCAAAAAACTTAAGTAAAAAATTGGCAAATGTTTTAATATTCTTTTTTGTTACAGCCTGATTTTTAGCGATGTCAAAAATAATCCTGACGATATTCATGTAGTTGATAAAAGATAATGCTTTATTTAGTCTAATTCGCTTCTTTTTCTGATGTACCTTTTCTAAAAAATCATGTCAATAGGCATATGCATAACAGTGAACTTCGATTTCAGAAAAGTCTATCAATTTCAAAATCAATCAACTTTTGTACATAGCCAAATATCGTACAATATCACCATATATACTAAAACGATTGCTTATATTCTGTGGCTTGTAATTCATAATTGTTCGAGTAATATATCGTTTTAATTATCTCTTTGTTATTAACAATATACTTGATTCCATTTAATAAGATACTAATTGTTTACCAATTATTTTTAATTATACCATTATTAGGAATCTTATTGTGGTTCCCTTAGTGTGGTGGTTGTTTTTTATTTAACATACTATTCTATAATATTCATAACAATGTACATTGTTTAATAATAAATATTTTTTACACCAGTACTACATGATACCAGGGTACTTTTGGATTTAAAAACCATATATAAGACTAAGGCCTAAAAGAAATTGAAGAAATAGCCTTATTTATTATCCTAACTAGTTTCAAAATAACAAATATTTGAGATATTGTTTTTTTAATTAGTCAGGTTTTAAAGTTTTTGCAAATTGCTAAAACTGTTAACATTAATGTTTTATTTAATGTAAAAGTAAATTAGTTGAGTAACAATTTAATTAATTTGAATTAGAAAACTCATCAGTCTCTTCATATAGAAAGTTGCAAAGGCAACATCTAAATCATTTATTTAAGAGCGCTGAAATTCAAGAGAATCTATCTTGAGATACAAACGACTGCACTCTTCTCGGAACTGCACTTACAGTGATTGTATTCTATTTGCTGCTCTTGTAATCAGCACCTCCTTTATGAATAGGTATATAACAAATGGTTTTATCCATGATATACAACTTTCAGGCGCAGATTTTAATAAAAAAATAAATCATTTTGGAATAATTTTTAAAAGTTATAATGTTCATTATTAATATTTATTGTAGAAGTTGGAACATTATTTTATGTTTAACTCCAATGTTGCCTGTTGAATATCATTTACCGTAACACAGTATTAAAATTCGTATACTGACTACAGTTTTTCGTGTAGAGCATGTGGGGCAAAATTTGCTAATAAGTGAGACGGCAATTCTAAACGTAAGATACTTTCAACACTACTGTAACTAGCAGTACACAGTTTTTGGATACCAAATGTACGAGAACTGTTGAACTTAGATTTATATTAAATTGTCAAAATTCATTAAAAAAAAAGAAAAATTAGTTAAAGAAGGCGGGTTGCACTTCATTTCCCGCACTATTGTTGCCCCAGATTTCGTGAAACAAATTTTGTTCATAAATTTGTATATTAGTGTTTTATTTAAGTTTGTCTAATTTATTACAATAGGCATAAGATATAGCATACGCATTAGAAATTAAAGCTATTAATCTAAAAAGCGTTCCAGCAACTAGCCAGTGGAATGGACAGACAAAAGAAGTCTTATATTTTTACAGTTCTCTACAAACAATAATAACCAGAAATTTCCGTGAAATAAAACTTCGAAACGTAATAAATCTCGATCAATTTAATTTATAACATTTTTAAGTTTAAACACTTGGTTGCATCATTTCTTTGGGTGGCTCGGGTACAGGTTCAGGGTCGACTGATTTAGGAAGATGTTCACCTTCAGCTGTGTACGCACCACTTGGATCACTCTTGTATTTAGTGGTATACGTTTTGCCATCATCGCCGACAAAAGTGTATTCACCTTCATAAATCAATACTTTGTCTTTACCATCGGCTGTGTCTACTAGTTTTCCTTTTTCCATAACGATGGTTCCCTCTGCTGTTACGTACTTTAGGGTATATTGGCCAAGTTCATCTCTGTCTTCTATATGCTCCACAGCAGGAAGTGAACGTCCTTCCCTTTGCTCCACTGGTACACCGAAGGTCATGAACACGCACGCGCAAAAAACTATAATCTAGAAAGAGAAGAACTGATAAAAATAACAAGCAATGAGGATTTGTACTGATATTGAAGTCTACGGCTAACTGGTACGTTTTTATCACTTGCTAACTATATAATAATATGTAGTAAATAAGTTTACATCTTTACTAATATTATAAAGAGGTATAGTTTCTAATTTTGGAAATACTTATTCGATAAAGATTTTTTTTCACCGACAAGAAGCTACATCGTATGCGGATTAAATAGAGTATAATTTATGCAAGCGAATATCTATACTAATATTATAAAGCTGAAGAGTTTGTTTGTTTTAATGCGCTAATCTCAGGAACTACTGGTTCGAATAGAAAAAATATTTTTGTGTTCGAATAGACCATTTATCGAGGAAGGCTTTAGGTTATATAACACCAAGCTGCAACTATTAGGAGTGAAGAAATAATGGAAAACGCGGATAAGTCGCTGGCGGCCACTAGTTATATAATATGTAGACGAGATATCAAAACGGTCACTTTTTATATTAGTGCATTTATCACTTGCTATACATGATATTCCCATTGCAACTAAATTAAAAAAAAAATACATGCGTCGCTACAATCAACTTGTTTCCCCATTTAATATAACTTCAAGTAAGTTTATGTAGATATCACATACATTATATACACAACTGTACTGCTAGTTGTTAAAAATTAATAACAATAATATTAACTTATCATAAATTTTATAATTTTATTTATGAGGGCATAATAGTTGACAAAAAAGGCAAATGTATTTTTATTAATTACTATTTGTGGGAATAATTTGCGGTTGAAATAAACGATTAAATACTCACAGTTTTCATTGTGTAAGTCTCCTTATTTTAAAATAAATAAATCTAAATTATTGTCCTCTTGTTTTAAAATATGATCGCCTACTATAGTAAATAATTTATCTACACATCATTTTATATTTTCCTTAATTGTTTTTTTAATTAATTATAATGCTCTCGAGTGACAAGTTTCGCAATCAATTAATTGTCGATTGTAATAACAAGATGATAGTAATTATCAAACCATTTGAATTTTGATGCTGTTATATGTAGTAGATTATGTGGTTCAAAATTAACCTCAAATTTAATAATGATAAAATTGATATATTAGACTCCGCTACCTTTCTTTCTCTCTCTCTCTTTGAATTGTACTAGATGAAAATTGTAACTAGAAAAATCTTATGATGTTGTATGTAAAAACTGAAGTGAATTCATATTTGCATTTGGTACAGTCAGGAGAATCGCTTCTTTTGATATATAACATTCCAATTTAACCACGGCTATGGTGCTGCAGTTTTCCGCTATGGCTTGATAATATGTGGAAAAAGCATTATATATAGAAAGCATTTAGAGCTCGAAATCATATGCATCAGAGCACTATGTGGGATAACAAGTTGAGAATCGTGTTGGTAAAAGAAAGAAACGAGAACGCGGACAAACAATAAATTATATATACCTAAGATTAAGCTTACTCTCATAATAAAAATGTTTATTGTATGGTTATTAAAATGTATAATAAAATATTAATATAATATTAATCCATCAAATATTAGGGATCTGTCATGTGAAAATATATATTTAAAAATTGGCTTCTGTATTATGGCTACTAATCGATTGATGAATTTAATAATAATTAATCATCACATGAATAAATTAAGAATATTTTATTGACTCTACTATTGTATAATCTTTTATTTTTATATAACTGGTATTTTTAACACTATAATATTGGCTATATGTACATCAATTGACATTTATAAGTGACATATTCTGAAATTTTAATTAGTAATAGCTTCAAATTACATGTAATCTAAGAATAATAGACATAAATATGTGTGTTGGTTGTGTTTAACATTGTAGAATTTTGCTTTAAATTTCAGAAAATATATATTTGATTTGATATTGTACATATCAAATCAAATATATATTTTCTGAAATTTTCGGATTAACGAAATACTCAATTATGAAACAAAACTTCGAAACAAAAATCAATACACAAAGCACTAGTATAAGTAAGTTTGCAAAAAAATGGAAAGAAAATACTATGAGACAGGTCCATAAGTTGAGAAACCTTTTGAATTTTCAAAGTCGATTAAAAAGAGCTAAAATCATCATCACCTTTTTATATTAAATGACCAAATCCATATTTTGAATACCTAAAATAATACCATACAAAACGCGAAACATGTAGATTTTTAATTGAATGAAAAATCATCAATTTAGCCTTGTCAAATTATTTACATTATGTATTGACACTCAAATTGATGGGAACAGTGAGATTCCAACATATTGGTTATTTTCACAATAATAACTGCATTAGAGTCTTCTTGGTTAATCAACAGTTGTATAATATTTACATTATAAATTAACCATATTTCATTTTGCATTAATAAACGGTTTCTTAGACATATACCAAGATCCATTCAGCTGAACTGTAAACAGGAGCCTTACTACAAACTACTCGATGAGATGCAAATGTCGGTTCCTTTGTGAAACACCGTTATCGCGTGTATAGCGGCATTTCTCTTCAACCATTACAATTGGATCGCGTTAAAGAGTCCATGGTAAGAACCTGACGGTTGTGGTTGTTACACGCAAATGGTAGATATTGCTTGGATTGTGTTGAATGTACTCGTGTTAAATTTAGACCAATGAAGATATATCTTATTGAAAACAATTGTGGTTTCTGTGTCGGATACAAATATAACCACAGCGGAGATTTAACTCAATTTAGGTGGGAAAATATTTGAAATTTAGAAAACCGATGTAGAAGTTGTAAATGTTTAAAGTACGTTTGTAAAATTATCATTAAAATAATTAAATATTAGGTCTTTACCTATGAAATTGCCGTTCTGCTGTATTGGCATTTTTAAATCAAAATATTTTTTTTTGTATTTTATTCATTTGATTAATGTTTCGTATCGTTTTCATTCCTTAGATTCATATCACTAATTTTGCTCATATCGATAAACTTTTTAGTGTTTTCCATTTATATTCTTTACTTTTTCCATTCAATAACAATGGACCTTCAATTTTATACCTGTAACCATTAAAATTCTGTAATATAAACTTATCCAAACCTCTACGAACTTTCATCCTATGTTTTTTTTACTACTTACACTAATGGCTTTCATAGTTTTTTGTTATACATTTTACGAATTCTTATCATTTTATAGCTATAAATTGTGTAATATTATAATAATATAACAACAATTTATCGCTTATTTTAATTTCCAAATTTGAGTTCGTCTTCAGGTATATAAAGCCTCACCCAAATAGTTCTTTATCACTTCAACGGCAACAGTTTTTGGAGCTCGTACAGAGCTAGCTAAATTCTTAAAAGGCCTATTTCCCGGGGCCGACTGCCCCGGGGACTCTTCAAAGTTACGGTCTCAAAGTCACTTGACACCATTTTGGCTGTAATTAAATATCAATAAATAAACACTAACATTATTCTACTAAACCTCCTTCACCACCTTCAAGCTTGGACGGAAATATTTTCTCCTGAAGCTGTCTTCGAGTCTTCATCTGGAGGCCTGAGCTGCTGATTCGTTCTGGGCTACGAAAGAACCATCTGCTCGACATATTGAGAGACGCGTTGTTGAAAAGGCGCTCCGGAACTTCGCCGTTGACCCACGACCCATCACCAGAAGCCTTGCGTTGACGACAACTATTTCTACGTTGACGGAACGCAACTTCACCGCTGACCTGTGCCCCATCACCATAACACCTACGCTGACGCAACGGACTTCACCGCTGACCCAAGCCCCTTCACCAGATCACCTACACTGACACTCTCACTCTAACTACTTCACTTCTCACCTTACCAGTCACCTCGTTCCTTTTATTTTATTTTTTTTATTGTAAATAAATTATTTAATTTAATTGACCATCTTTTAGTAATTTTATTCTTGTTTCATAACATGCGTTCTTTTTTTTATCGTGGTTGTACGGTTTACAACATCATGGATATATTTTTTTTAAATCGAGTAATTATGGGGCATGAGAACCGTTGTCGTGGCAACTAAGCAGCGGAAGCGGTAAGTAATTAATGGCGTTTACCGAGTGAACACAACTAACGATCATACCACGCGTTATTGGTTTGCCCGCTCTCATTTTGGAAATTTCCACCTAACCCCCCCCCCCCCACACTTCCGTCGAACACTTCAGTCGACAGTGACGAATTAAAGGAGATTGTGGAAACTGGTAATTGTCAAACTACAGCTGAATTAACTGAAGCTTTCCATCTCAGCATCAAAAAAATTTTGTCCCATTTCCGTCAAATAAGCAAACATGCAGAAGTTCGTACGTCTCCAACCAACCTTGGTCAGTCGTTCGGCTCTACTACTCCTGCACAATAATGCGCGATCTCATACGGCACAGCAGACTCTTCAAGTTACGAGAACTGGGCTTGAAAGTTCTCCTTTATCCACCATACTCACAATACCTTGCCTCTAGAGACTTCTACATTATCCAGAATTTAAATAAGTTCTTTGCGGTGAAAAAATACAGTACTCGATGCCATTATAAAATGTAGAATTTGTTGCCTCCCATCCAGCAGACTTTCTCAGAAAGGGCATCAATAAGCTACTATTACGCTGGCAAAAAAGCATTGATTTGCATGGGTAAATAAAACTAATAAATATATAAGAAAATTGCGTTAACTTATTCTATGAAAAACGCCACTTTCATACGTATTCTTTACGTAGTACGTCAATGCCACCATCTAAATATAAATTTCAAGGATTTGACTCGTCAGTTCGTCCACCGACCTTTAAATTCCTAAAACGTACTTTATTAAAACACAATAAGATCAAACGATAAAGGAGTATAATAATGGTGATAAATCATTACTATTATAAACGATTAGCATAGTGGGTCAGGCAAATAAAACCGTCACAAACACGAAAAATGCCCTTTTTATCATTCCTATATCGTGTTCTTTTAAATCTTTTTTTTTTTCCTAATATTATAAAAGCGAAAGTTTGTAGGTTGATTATGATTGTTATTGTTATGTACCACATTCAAGCAAAATAAACTATTATTATTGTTATCAACTTCTTTAAGCAAAAACTGTAGAACAGATTTTCATATAAGCTACTTTTTTATCTGAGTAAACAGTTCCTTAGGAATAATAGTACCGTCTGATCACACGTAAACCAAGTCTGCGAAGCCGCTGATGAAAAGTAACAAAAAATTGTTAAATTATATTTGATCAATTTCGCATTCACAATGTTATACTTAAAAATATTCTTAATACAAAATG